GAAAACAGTCGTTGGATACGGGAATTTAGTTAAGGAATATAAAACGCACGCGCATACCTCGTTCCGTTGATATAAAAAGCTGGGAGCTCATGAGGTTAAGCAAGAGAGAAGCAAGCTTAGGAACCCGAGCAATAGTTGAGCGTTTCTCTTGCTTTTCACAGTACAGAGATATAACAATAGGTTTTGTATAGCTTTTGTAAAATATGTGCGGGAGCGTGTCCCTTTCCTTTGATATAAACACGGTAGCAAGGTAATCAGCGCGCGTGTGCAAATATTTTATAATACTATTTTTATTTGAAAGAGCTACGCAGCAAGCAGTTGATCTAAGTTATTCATAAAAATGAAAATACAAAAGAATAAAATAGATTTTCTGAATACATTACATCAACTTAGTAATATATATCAATATCCAATCTATAATATAAATTGACAAATAAAACATTTTCGGCTATTTCTGATTAGGCCGGGAACAACTCGGTGAGATTCGAAAGTAGATGAGGATTTATTTTCTTCTTACTTTCTACCTTGGATATTTTTATTTTTACACTTCCATTTTTGGTTTTTATTTCTAGTGTTGACTGAGGAAATATAAAAAGAAAATAAACTCTCCCTATGAAAACGTCGTTATAATTACTAACCGGCTTGTGAAAAACCATAACTTTGCAGTACGATTGGAAATAAAGTATGAGGTATTTTTACGTCAAAACTATTGCATTGCTGATTTCATTGGTAACTCTTTCAAAAGGTAATCCTACGCAATTAAGGTCGTTCTGTTTAATTTGGCTAATTTTATTTGTTTCATGCGGATGATATGAATACATGATATTCAATAGTTATTCAATGGTTTACTCGAGAACCTCCAAGTGTGCTCTACGTGTCCAGTGGAGGTACAGCGAGACTTGTGTGGGATTACAATGTCAGAAATAGAACTGTAATGTTTGATCCATATTCACCAGAGTGGGCTCTGTATAATACAATTGGATTTAGAATAGTTATAGGCGTCGAGGATGCTTACAATGGATGGAAGTTCGTTATTCTCAAAAGCTGCCCCACAAGACTGMGTGGTCGAGTCAGTAAAGAGTCCACAGCTACTCTTGTCATCTCTAATGTCACAAAAGCTGATGAACGGCTATATGAATGCAGTCTGCTGTTATTAGTGGGATCACCAATAAGAAGTAAAGTACAACTAGTTGTTACAGGTAAGGTATACATCCTTTGGTTTATACCAAAACGTTAAACGCTAAACAAATAGGTGACAAACCATTAAGACATATATCGTTACTAATTGACTGCATTCAATACCAAATAGCACATACTTAAGGGTGCTTAAATGTTTTATGATTAATATATTCACTAATTTATTGAACTAAACTATTGTTTTTAATAACTCCCAACTAATGATTGATTAATTTGTTGTATTCAGAACGTCCCCGCTTTACTTCTCCTGTCAATATATCTACGTCTATCAATGAGGGATCAAGTCTGTGCATCCGATGTTCAGCAGCTGCAGATCCTATGCCCAACATAACGTGGGTACGAATTATAAAGAACCCAAAAATTATCAGTGAAGGAGTTGGTGAAGCATTTCTCAGATTCGACAACATCACGAGACACCAACTTGGAACATATGAGTGTCAGGCTAAGAATAATCCAAACGAGGATCCCGTTACAACGAGAACCGAAATCTCAGTAAAATGTAAATAATTTCGTTTTCATAACTTTGCATTAAAATCACTGAGGTGTAACTTTTACTTTTCTCCAGAATAAGAAAGGGAGAGACAAAAACGTCATATAATAAAGCCGACTGAATCACAGACGAGTCCTCCGATCGACGCTGACCATCACAGCTGACACTGCCATCAACGCATTATCATAACTACTCTTTATGCTATTATTCATCTTGGTTTATCATCGCTACTCTTTTTCCTCATAGACCCTGTAGAACCAGCGAATGTCTTCGTTTC